TATAATATTTTGTAAACATTCGTTAGTAACAACCAAGACAGAAACCAAACCGTTAGCAAATCATTGATCATTTCAATATATTTATATATATATACTCTAGCTAAAAGATATTATACGTAAAATATTCTATATAAACTATATATGTATACACACTATTTGTACGGCAATGGTATGTCAAGTCGTTATTTTTTTGGTGTGTATTGAATGGAAGGGCATATAATGACTAAAAGTATTTACTTACATACTGTAACCTCTCAATATAGAAATATATATATAAATCGGAAAATATGTACGCATTATAACTTTATGATGTTTTCATACGGCACAAACTCAAATGCCTTAATTTAAGTTTTTTGTAGAGTAGTTACCAATAAGTATATCATACCTTTAATTTGCCAAATATGTTATATAACCGGACAATATATGATTGTAAGCATCAGGTTCTTTGAAAACGCTTAAATGGGGATTTAAAACAATGATGCCCCAACTCAAAAAATAATTTGCTTATGCAATTTTCAATTAGCAAGGCTTAAGACCATACCTCACAAAATATCTCAACCCAGAGAACTGTATGAAAACATCAGATAAAAGCTCATAATAATTAATAAAATTGATTAAACACAACAGTGAGGTGATATTTTTTTATTTTTAACATAAAGCTCCCTGATTGATGACCTCCCCTTTCAAATTCAGCTAGAGAAAAGTTTGTAGGAGTTCTCCTGCCTTATTCGCTGTAAAGAAGCAAAGATAATCACATTAACAGCTCTTTAGAGTGCAGAAAACTAATGTGGAAGTGGCAAACAAGCACATAAATATGTATGCATGCATTTTGTACATACATACATATGTATACATATACATATGTAATGTACAGACAGAATCGATGATGACATGGGCTGTGCCTGTGATTAATAGATGGAGGTCGCAACCAGCAGCATGAGAAGATGTTTGTGTATATTCATGTATGCGTTAAAACAAATAGGAAAAGCATGCTTGCATGTGCGTATAACTAACTGTTCTACTGCGCCGTCAAATGGGTTATAATTATAAAATAGCTAATAATTAAAGCACCTAATAAAAACATAAAGCACGTCTTCACATACTTATACAAGCATGCACACACACATTTATACATGTGTCGTGAAGTAAACGCGTAATTGGAAAATGTGCATGGAAATGAAAGATAAACACACATGTAACAATAAGAGCTCTGAGAGAGAGATGCAGCCTAAACACAAAGGCATTGCATTGAAAGAGACACCAAACACAAAAACAACAACAAGAGTGCACAGAAGATGGGAAAGAGAAGCGCAAGAGATTGAGCGAATATAAGTTAAAAAGAACGCATGGAAAGTCAAAAACTCCAACCCTCACAATAAGTCAACGAATAGAAGACCAGAGCAGGAGAAAAAAGAACAACAACAAAGGAATACAAAAGAAGGAAAACGCTTCAGCGATTTAAGAGTCTATGCGGCTGTTTGTTGCGCTGCAAACCAGTTTATTGGGAATCATACTTGATATGTGTATTTTTGTAAGCTACAAAAACAGTTCTTAAGCTTTAAATTTGAATTCTATATGCCATTTTATTTTGTTTCCCCTGCTGTTGTTTACGCTATGTGTGGTGTAGGGCATCGGTACAATAATACAACACTTGCACGCCGGGCACAGCCACAGGCACAAAAACAAATACATGTGAGAGTGCCGCTGGCTGAGAGGCTGCTGCTTCTGCGAGCAGCGGCTACTGCTCTCTTATTAGAGCGTCCCGTCCTCGCACACACGCATACAGACAAGTGCTTATGCTGATGCTGCACTCACTTTCATTAACACAAGTCCCAAAGGCAGCGCCGGCAGAATGAAATGCAGCGACTGCGACGCGCCGAGAATGGTGCTGTGCGTTTCTAGACATCCCAAAACATACATATATACATACATGCATACACACGACACACACAATCACATAAACGTACGTATGCAGCAACGTTAATGCTTACATATAGACGCGTGTATAAACAAACATCTATGCATATGTACATATGTATGTATATACAATCACATAGTACATATATAAATGCACTGGCCGTTCGTTGCGGCTGCGACGGCCAGGCCACACAACCCCAAAAGTTGGAAAACCAAATAAAAATACGACTACAAGGCACGCTGTTTGTGAGTTTTTTGGTTGGCGATGATCTACTTGTGAATGCCCTGTACCTGTAGAATTTATACGGGTCTGGCATTTTGTATTTGATTTAATTAGTGTAATATTCTTGGTTGGTCTATTAAACATTAACATAATTATATTTCAGACGAATTTATTAAATTTACCACGACTCACAACAATATAAGATTATTTATATAATAATTTTAATTTGATATAATTTGTATAAGAATAAGACTCATGGATTTAGTTTATATATTTTTAAATATTAGTTATACTTTATCATATTTTAATTTTTGGCTAATCAAGTGTAGGGCATGTTTGTTGTCATATGACCAACCAAAAACGCATTGTAAAGAATGTACAAATAAACGCACATTTTCCAGAGAAGTAGAAAAACTTCCACCCTCAAAACAGCGCACACAAGCACTGTACACATATGCACACACAATCATACATACACATGTACGTATGTACACACATATTAGCGAACTAATACAAAAAAAGAGAGCTGCGCTGTCACTGTCATTTGTCCATTGCGTCGCTGTGCCGCTGGCGTCTGTGTTTCTGTTTCTCTGTCTCTRGCTCAGTCGCAGTCGCAGTCGCTGCCTGCGCCTGATTGCCGTTGCCTGCCCCAGTGTTTCCGCTTTCTTTCGTTGTAATGTTACTTTTAGTTTGATGTCGGAGCCTCGACGAGCCGGTTGTAAGCGTGACTTTCGTTTAATTCTACTTTATTATTGTTGTTGTTCGACGTCGACGTCGTCGTCGTCGCGCTCGACGTTGCCTCGTGTGTGATTGTGTGTGTGTGTATGTGTATGTGTGTATTCGAGTCTACTGGTGTTGTGTGTTTTGTCTCTGTGTGTGTTTAGTTTAAGCGAAATTGAAAGTTGTACATTTGCTACCCCCAAAAGCAAAGCGCTGCATACAATCGCGCGCTCATACAAACGTGTGTGTACGCGAGTGTCAGTTTGTGTGTGTTCCTTGCTACGCCACGCCACGCCACGCCACGCCACACCAACCAAAAACCAACCCCCACCAACAAGAGTAGCAACAACAAAAATAACAACATCAGCAACTACAACAACAAATCCTGCCAAGTAGCACCACCCACAGCTAAAAAGCGCCGCATAGTCATCGACATCGTCATCGCACATCGCCTGTTTCTGCTTCTCTAATTCGATCGTATTTCAGTTGCTCAGGCTCGACGCAACGTTTATGTTACAGTTACAGTTGTTGTTAGTGTTGGCTAGTGCAATTTGAAAACAACCAACAAAAAAGCGAAAGTGTTACACAAGCCCCAAAATCAAATAACGGCTAGGGAGTAATCTCCACAAAAAAGAAAGAAAAAAAAAACAAAAGGCAGCAATTACACACAGGCAGCTCGGCTCCTGCCTGTGTGTGTGCGCGCGTAAGTCGGCGGCCTGTGCGTGTATGTGTGAAGCCCTGTTAACAACATAAAACTGTCATGATGAATTTCTCCGCGTTCGGCGGCCCCTTCTCTGGTATTCATCAGTTTGCTGCTAAATTTGATGCACAAACACCGGGCGCATTTGGTACGCCGCCGGTGAACGCTGCAGCCGCTGCAGCGGGCAGCGATAATCATGTTCAGCGCTATCAGACCAATGGCAATCATTTCAATCAGAATGTGCCCAACGGTAAGTGCATGCATTCATACAAACTGATATATATATATATACATATATGTACATTTTTATATATGTGTGTAGACACATGCATGTAAATAGAGACATGTGTGTGCATGTGTGTATACAACATAATCACTAAAAATTTATTTTATTTTTATCGATTTATTTTCGCCTGCTGCTGCTGCTGCCAACGTCGCTGTCGTTCGAGTCGCCAGCGACGCCATGGCTGGCGTCAGCAGCGGCAGCAGCAGCAACAACAACAACAGCAACACAAGTAGCGGCAGCGATTTGCTTTTTCCTATCCCATCCACTACAATTCGTCGTTTGAGGTCTTATGAACCTGTGTAACTAGCACAACATTCATGTTTTGATTATGAAGAAGAAGAGCGCTGAGGATCAACTTGAAGAATACCAAAAGAAAAAAGCCAACAACTGCGCATGTATAAGAGCATTAATGTTTGCATTGCTTTTGGTTTCGTTGTGCGCAGCATACGACATGCTATTGGTTAGAGCGAGAGCGCAAGTAAACAACAAATCAGCCGCTTAATGATTCGTTTGCTGCTCACAGAACTAGTTCGTATTGAAAAAAATGCATTATAGCCATGTTGCGCTCAAAAGAGAGTTGCCACCTGTCAAAAAACGGGTT